AGACGAGTCGTTTCATGTGTCATTTTTTTTTATGTACTAGTTGATCTAAAGTGATGACCATAGACATTAAAACGTGAGACCCGTCATTCACCTTGAGACACTGCGTGTAAATCTCAACATTAGTATTTTTATAGGGTACATTCCGCCATTTAAGCAAAAACGGATTTCTGCTCCGAATTTAATTTAATTTATTTATTTATTTGGGAAACAAACAGTACAATAGAAACATATAATATTTTAAAAAAATATAGCTAAAACAATAACCAAATATGCTTCCACAATCAAAATCGCATATAAGTAGAAAGTGAACATGAAGAGGAATTTAGAAATTTAAATTACAAAAAAACAAAAGCAACACAATACGCACATACTATTTTATACATTAACTTACACTATAAAACTATAATACTCATCGGACTAAATCACCTTATAAATATTTTAAAATAGCTTTTCCATATGCTACAAGTGACATGCAAAAGATGTCAGCATTAGAGAACTTAGCATCATACAACCTACAAGATCTACGGACAAAAGAGTTAGAAGCATATTTCGTTCGAGCCGTGGACATGTGGAAGGAATCCACTAAGAATACCCGATTCGCTTAGTTAATAATGAAGAAAGGTTTTAATTTATTATGCGGACCTTCAATAAGGCCGGACGAGACACTACGGCGTTGTTATTATTAAATACGAAGCAGCCATTTCATGAAAACTATATTATTATGTACCTACTGCCCGTATGAAATTTTTATGTCCGAACGTAACTGTGTCATCGACAGATTAAATTATTTGAGCAATTCTAAGAATTTTACCTTTTTTTTATTTTTTTTATTTTATTGCTTAGATGGGTGGACGAGCTCAGAGTCCACCTGGTGTTAAGTGGTTACTGGGGCTCATAGACATCTACAATGTAAATGCGCCACCCACCTTGAGGTATATATATATATATATATATATATATATATATTTGCTAGATGGTTGGACGAGCTCACAGCCCACCTGATGTTAAGTGGTTACTGGAGCCCATAGACATCTACGACGTAAATGCGCCACCCACCTTGAGATATAAATTCTAAGGTATCAAGTATAGTTGCCACGGCTGCCCCACCCTTCAAACCGAAACGCAGTACTGCTTCACGGCAGAAATAGGCGGGGCGGTGGTACCTACCCGCGCGGACTCACAAGAGGTCCTAACACCAGTAATTACGCAAATTATAATTTTGCGGGCTTAATTTTTATTACACGATGTTAATTCCTTTACCGTGGAAGTCAATCGTGAACATTTTTCGAGTACGTATTTCATTAGAAAAATTGGTACCCGCCTGAGATTCGAACACCGGTGCATCGCTCAACACGAATGCACCGGACGTCTTATCCCTTAGGCCACGACGACTTCAAGCTACCCCACCCTTCAAACCGAAACGCATTACTGCTTCACGACAGAAATAGGCTGGGTACCTACCCGTGCGGACTCACAAGAGGTCCTACCACCAGTAAAAACCTCTCTTAGTTAGCATATCTGTGTAACAGAGGTATTTATGATGAATATGCGTTATGAATATTTTACTATCTTATTTTAGTATCTTAGGATTTGTTTTTTCCAGAGTCTACTAGATGTTTTGTTGCCTTAATAATAGAGACGGAAACAATTACTTCAGTGCGTCATGTAGGACACCAGTGACCTACAGACAAAGGGTTAATTTTTTATTGATTAAGTTGGGGGGACGAGCTCACGGCCCACCTGGTGTTAAGTGGTGACTGGAGCCTACAACGTAAATGCCCCACCCACCTGGAGATATAAGTTCTAAGGAAATATAAGTTAACTGTATAATAACATCTTAAGGTTAATAATTTTTTCAAGTTCTTTTTAGTTAAAAATAATTTGTCTTTTTTTATAGCATCAGCTTAATGAATATTTTCGGTGCCATATACACAATATACTTTTTATAATTTTCACATTATTCCGCGTCCTGTTTGCTTGAGATGCCTTTTGAAAATTATCCATGGTCGTTTACATGTGTAGTAAGTTGAGGAAATAGAAGAGGAAATCTTGACAAATAGCTCTGTAGCACGATAGAGTCGGGCATAATTGCCGCAAGCTCTTTAACTTTAAGAGCATGCTCGAAGTTTTCCTCGTCCCAAATTTTTCTGGAACATATCCGGTAGCGTATCACGTGTAGCCACAGAGTCTCGATTCTTAACTTTAACGTTAGACAGAGAGAGAGAATACACTTTATTGCACACCAACACAATTTACATTCAAAAGGCAGATACATTTGTACAATAGGCGGTCTTGTCGCTAAAAGCGATCTCTTCCAGACAACCGTTTAATTTACAGAAATTCTGAAAAATATAAAAATGTAAGAGGTATGTTGCGGTGTACGATAACAATACATTATTATAGAAAATATATATATACAATAAACAGATATATACCGTTTACATATAATATATACCAATATACATACTTACATACAATACATACTAATATACTTACACACACATAATAAATCGAACCGCCTAGGCGCCTGGACGGTGAGTGAATTGTAAAAGAATGATGATGAATGCGCCGACATTTTTATTAACGTTACTATTATCAGTGAAGAATAATTGAAATCTTTTAAATAAACTTCCACCTTAAATTAATACGATCAAATTAGTTTTTAGCTTGTTAAGGGACCAATAGACACATTGATGAGAATTTTGGTGTGATAATTTTTATTACATTGCTTGGGTTTCTTGAATAAAACCTCCAAATCGATCTTGAGTTTGTATTTTCTTTATTCAGGTATTTTCTTCATTTTTATGTTGCGAATAAGTTAGCTTTTTTACTGGTGGTAGGACCTCTTGTGAGTCCGCGCGGGTGGGTACCACCACCCTGCCTATTTCTGCCGTGAAGCAGTAATGCGTTTCGGTTTGAAGGGTGGGGCAGCCGTTGTAACTATACTTGAGACCTTAGAGCTTGTATCTCAAGGTGGGTGGCGCATTTACGTTGTGGATCTCTATGGGCTCCAGTAACCACTTAACACCAGGTGGGCTGTGAGCTCGTCCACCCATCTAAGCAATAAAAAAAAATAAGCTTGTCACGGCGATTTTTAATGAAGTGTAAATAGTGTAGGATTGTAGATAAACACAAATAAAAATTTCAACATTGCTCCTGAAAATGTCGTAGGCGTTATAACATTGCTATGTCTTTTCTCTGAATGAAAATTTCTGATTACTGGTGGTAGGGCGTCCTCTGAGCCCGCATTGATAGGCACCAGCTTCCTACTTAGTTCTTCCGTGAAGCAGTAATGCGTTTGGATTGTAGAGAAAGTCGTTGTGCTATAAAACTGAGATTCATATCTCAAGGTCGACGGCGGCACCTACATTGTCTACGGTCTCCGGTAACCACTTGCTATCAAGTGGGCCGTAACCACTTCTATCCACATTGGTAATTACATGTCCTAGAATGGGCCGATATCATCATTTTTTCTTGACATAGCGGGCGTATGGAGGGTGCAAAGAGATAACTAACTTATGTGTATTATCTATGCAGATGTGGAAAGGGCCAATTGGCAAAAGAAGAATAGGGAGACCGAAAAGACGATGGGCTGACGACATAACCGAAATAATACGAAAGGACTGGCAAACTATCGGCAAAGACAGATCAGTGGAAAGGACTGGAGGTCCATAACCAATAGCAAAAACTGACTCTTACATTTAGACAATCTCTCCTTCCGTCGATAATCCTCAATCCTGAGGGTCGTGGAGATAGTCGTTCTCTAACAACTTTCTCCTGCGCCATTCCTGCCTATCCTAGGCTGTGTGGGTAGCAACATTTAGAAAATAAGCAAAACATTAATAACTAACTAAACATTAACAAACAGATTCCACATTTGACAATGAATATTAAGGCTATTGAAATAGGCTATTTATTTTATTTATTATCTATGCAAAGAGATGCCGCAGCACGAAACTATGACAGTTCTTTTTTTTATTGCCCTTGTAAGCAGACGAGCATACGGCCCATCTGATGGTGGGTGGTTACCGTCATCCATGGGCTTCAGCAATGCCAGGGGCAGAGCCTTGCAAGATCTGCAGCAGATGCTGAACGGCTTAGCAGATTCTTCGCGATGAATTGGACTCCGGATGAACATGGATAAAACCAAAGTGATGTTCAATGGTTACATTAGCCCGGGTCCGATCGTCGTGAAGGGCTGCCCGCTTGAAGCTGTTGATGAATATTTATACATCGGGCAGACTCTACAGATGGGTAAACACAGCTTGGAGAGGGAAGTCAAGAGAAGGATCTAACTGGGCTGAGTGGCGTTCGGCAAACTGCATGGAGCCTTTTCATCGCACATCCCACAGTGCCTGAAAACAAAAGTTTTTAACCAGTGCGCCCTACCGGTAATGACTTATGGAGCCGAAACGTGGACACTCACAGTACGGTTGGTCCGTCAGCTCAAGGTCGCTCAGCGAGCCATGGAAAGAGCAATGCTCGGAGTTTTTCTAAAGGATAAAAAATCCGGAATGAGATTATTCGACAGAAAACTAAAGTCATCGACATAGCTCAAAGAGTCAGCAAGCTGAAGTGGCAGTGGGCTGGCCATATATGCCGTAGGACTGACGATCGCTGGAGCAGACGGGTTCTCGAGTGGAGACCGCGCAGCGGAAGACGTAACGTGGGTGGTGGTGCGATGACCTGCGAGCGGTGGCCAGCAAGAAGTGGATGAGGAGAGCCGTAGACCGGGCTCAGTGGTGTGGATTGGGAGAGGTCTATGTCCAGCAGTGGACGACTGTGGGCTGTTGATGATGATGATGAGCCAAGCCACTACCTACTGCAAAACGGGACGTCTTCACTGTTCTTAAGGCGACGAATGTGTTTCGATTCCACACTGGCGATGACACCTCCACTCTACCGAAGCATACGACCCGAATTGAGACGATGTTTGACGAGTGGTTGCCGCAGTTGCGATATACATTTAAAGGCTTTAAATTGACGGTTTTGTGTTACAGGAACCGCATCGAGAGAACCGCTTCAAAACAATGGCGTGGCTCGGTGCGGCGCATCATCTCTGCAACTGTCTGTGAGTACTTTTTCATTTCATTTAACTGTTAGAATGAGTCAGTGAATCTCGTTGATCTGCCGCGGCACTCTCGTATGGCGTCAAATTATTCAAGTTTGACGAAGAAGTTTTTAATTGCGCTCTTTTTTTTGCTTTAAGAGGCTATACCAGCGTTGCCCTAGCGTGTAGGTGAGCTCATTCATAAACCCTTCTGGTGTTTTGTGGTTATCGAAGCCTATTTATGTCATAACGTTAATGCCACCAGTGCCACCCAGCTTGAAGCATTTGAGTTGGGGTTTGGGCCCCAAGGCTCAAACCGGAGGTGTTGATAACAATGGCCCTAGCAAGAGCAGTGCTTCGCAGAATCTACCACCGGATCGGAATCGTGCTGCGTTTCGATTAGCTACCAAGCTTATACATAATATCATCTTTTCGCATTAAAGGTACCATTTTCAAAAATATTCGAAATTGAGTTAATATGCGGAATCATTTGGTATCACAAGTATTTTTCTCATAAATACTGTCCAAAGAGCGTATTTTAGTTTTAGTTTTTTTTTTACTTACCCTTTGTTTCCACTACTATTAACAAAATTAATACATAATTTTATTATGAAACTGGTAAAAAAAAAATGTTGCAAAGATGATTAATATTAAAAATATCACATGTTAAACCTTTAAAACACTCTCCTGTAAAATTAGTAAGTTTTGAGATTATACAGTTTTAATGCGAGAAGACGATTTTTTTTGTTGTTGGTAAAATTCCAGATAACCTGTCCTGTTTCACACACGGGTGTAGCACCGGCTGGGTGTCCGGAGTCCTAGGAAACGAAGCGTTGACGGGCGGGGCGTGGCTGGCCGCCCTGCCGTGCCTGGTAGCACTACCGGCAGCTCCATTCTTCGCCGTGCTGGCTGACGCGAGGGGAAGGAAGGCGGGCGCTTTTTGCATTTGCATCAGTTTTATCGTACGTTCCACTTTCAAGATTAGATCTGTGGTGGCATCCACGCTTCTCAAGCGAGAGTTTTGAGGCCGATAGTTAGAATATTTACGACTTTATTTTATTTTTTTATTGCTTAGATGGGTAGACGAGATCACAGCCCACCTGGTGTTAAGTGGTTACTGGAGCCCATAGACATCTACAACGTAAATGCGCCACCCATCTTGAGATACAAGTTCTAAGGTCTCAGTATAGTTACAACGGCTGCCCCAGCCTCCAAACCGAAACGCATTACTGCTTCACGGCAGAAATAGGCAGGGTGTTGGAACCTACTCGCGCGGACTCACAAGAGGTCCTACTACCAGTAAAAAAATTCTTCCTTTCTAATTTTCAGTTGAGCTGGTCTTTAGCGGCGTGGTGTGGCCCGCGAGGAGTATGGGCTGCCAGGGTTGCAGCCGGCGCAGGGGGTGCGGGCGCGCTTGCCCTCGCACCCTTGTACTGCGCGGAGATAGCGCCACGCACGAGAGGGCTGGCTGCGATGCCAGCACTGGCTTGCAGGTTATAGACCTATGATTTTTTTTGGCAATCATGGGCCGGTTTCACCGATTTTTTTCCTTACCCAATCTGATAGCCTTGAGAAGCTATGTCAGCGTAACTCAAACATGTCGCCTACATACTGCATCTATCAGGGCTCAAACCAGGAGGCGCTGCTAACACTGATCCTAGCAAGAGCCGTGCTTCGCAGAATCTACCACCGGATCGGAAACGCGACCCACTGAAAAGTTCCGGCGAGAAACTCAGTGAGCTCGCCGATTTGTCGTCCACTACTATATTATTTTTTTATTGGTGTACTTAACGCAGGACAACTAATAAAGCTGTGTCCGTGTTTACTCAGGAAACTGGCCGGGGTTTTGTTGCCCTAATACGATAAATTTATTACACAGAATCTATTTATATATATAAAAATGAATTGCTGTTCGTTAGTCTCGCTAAAACTCGTGAACGGCTGGACCGATTTGGCTAATTTTGGTCTTGAATTATTTGTGGAAGTCCAAAGAAGGTTTGAAAGGTAGATAAATATGAAAATGTTCGCAATTAAATAAAAATAACAATTTTGTTTTTCCTTTGATGTGTTCCTTTCCTTTTGTTTGTTTTAAGTTTATTTTATACAAAAGATTAGGTCTTTTATTTATCGATTGAGGCACTACAAAGTCTGCCGGATCCGCTAGTACTATAAATTCTCACAGCACATAAGTAACATGGCCATCGTATTCCGATATCTTGCAGAAGTCGGTTCCTTTATATAAATAAGTATTGAGGACAACTAAGCTGATTGAAAAAAGGTAAATGTATACCAGGATATCATAAACTTGAAGAGTAAAAATTACATCAATTTTCAGTTGCGGCATCCTGTTTGCATACGCGGCTGGTGGCATGCTATCAGCACACGCACTGTCCTTGTCAATGGCAGTACCACCTTCCGCACTCCTGGTGTCGTTGATCTGGCTGCCAGAGACACCTTCGTTTCTGATCAGCATCGGAAGGGTTCAGGTCAGGAATCTTTACGACTTTTACTGGTGGTAGGACCTCTTGTGAGTCCGCACGGGTAGGTACCAACACCCCGCCTATTTCTGCCGTGAAGCAGTAATGCGTTTCGGTTTGAAGGGTGGGGCAGCTGTTTTAACTATACTGAGACCTTAAAACTTGTATCTCAAGGTGGGTGGCGCATTTACGTTGTAAATATCTGTGGGCTCCGGTAACCATTTAACACCAGGTGGGCTGTGAGTTCGTCCACCCATCTAAGCAATAAAAAAAAAAAAAATTGTTGACTTAGCTTTCTGAATACCACCTTTAAATGGTCTCACAAATCTTTCTTGCAGGATGCCGCAAAGATAATTTGCTGGTTCGACGGCTCCGATTTCAGGGAAGATCTCACCGATGTCATAGAACAACAAGAGGTGAGGATCAGGACCTCAGACTGCTACGGGAGTAGGCGGGAGGCGATGCGACGTCAAGACTCTGACGCGTTCCAGCCCATGTTGAAGCGTAGCAGCGGCTTGGAATCTAACAGCGATAAAAAAACCGAGCAATCAGCTTGCAAAGAGTTATGTGAGTGTTCCTATACGGTTATGTTTTCCTGGTAGTAAGATGATATATCTTCGGACTTGACTTCTTGTACTGAATAATAAAAAACTAACAAAAAATACGCGTTTATAGCAAATCCAACTAAAAAATAGAAAATAAATGAATGCATGTTAAAACGTAGGGAATCCAACTGCGATAAAAAAACTGAGCAATCGGCTCGCAAAGAGTTATGTGAGTGTTCCTATACGGTTATGTTTTCCTGGTAGTAAGATGATAGTTCTTCGGTCTTGACTTCTAGTTTAAAAAAAAAATAACAAAAAATACGCTTTTATAGAAAATCCAACTAAAAAATAGAAAATATATCTTAATAAATTTGATTTAAAAATAGTGTAAGAAAAAATGATTTTATTGTAAAAAAAGCGTGGGGTGCATAGTATCAGTAGTTATAAATATTTTATGAACATAATATATGAGTAGAAGGGTTATTTTGATAATATCCTGAAAAGCATCCCACGCTTTTTTACAATAATATATCGATTGAGGCACTACGAAGTCTGCCGGGTCAGCTAGTAAAATATATTATAATTTCAATTGGCAAACAAGAAGTAATTTTTCGTAAGCAAGCAGCGTCCTTGATGCACGAGATATTTAGTATCAGAATATATATCAGATATTTATTATTATCAGAATTTTTTACTCCTTACTGTTTTGCTATTAAAGTACCAGGCAAACAGAACAGGCAAAGAGGTTGTTGCAGTTAGGCATCGCCGCTCCCGGCGAGCTCTCCTCTCATGTGCGGTGCTCATCTGCGCGGCAGCCGGATCTGGTGCAGGGGCTGTCAACAGCTTCGCAGCGGCAGTACTGAGGCACTCCTCACACGCTGTGCCGCTTCTGAACATGACAGCTTACAACTTCACGATCAACGATGGGTAAGCCTAATATTTTATTGGTAGCTTTCAGTTATAGCAAATGAGGGTAAACGTTAGGTTTTTTTTATTGCTTAGATGGGTGGACGAGCTCACAGCCCACCTGGTGTTAAGTAGTAACTGGAGCCCATCATCATCATCATCAGCCTATAGCAATCCACTGCTGGACATAGGCCTCTCCAATTGTTCGCCATTGAGCACGATCCTCGGCTTCTGTCATCCAGTTCCTGCCAGCCACCCTGCACAGATCATCACTACACCGAGCATGAGGGCGTCCTGCACTGCGTTTTCCAGTTCGCGGTCTCCACTCAAGAACGCGTTTACCCCAACGGTTATCGGTTGTCCGGCCAATATGGCCAGCCCATTGTCACATAGCTTACTAATTCGCTGTGCTATGTCTATAACTTGGGCTCTCTGTCGGATCACCTCGTTCCGGATTCGATCTTTCAGAGAAACTCCAAGCATAGCCCTCTCCGTAGCTCGCTGAGCAACTTTAAACTTGTGGACCAGCCCAACCGTGAGTGTCCACGTTTCCGCTCCGTATGTCATGACAGGCAGGACGCACTGATTGAAGACTTTCAGCTTTAGACTCTGTGGAATAGACGACGACAATACTGGACGTAATTTTCCAAACGCTGTACAGCCCAGCTGTATTCTTCTGCTGGTCTCGTTCTCGAAGTTGTTTTTAAATATCTGTAATGCGTGCCTGAGGTAAACATATTTTTGAACAGCTTCTAGGGGACTACCATATACGGAGCCCATAGATATCTACAAATGCGCCACCCTCCTTGAGATATAAGTTCTAAGATCTCGAGTATAGTTACAACGACTGCCCCACCCTACAAACCGAAACGCATAACTGCTTCACGGCAAAAATTGGCAGGACGGTGGTACCTACCTGTGCGGACTCACAAGAGGTTCTACCACCAGTAATAACTAACGTCGCTGCTATACAACAGCAACAAAGCTGAGGAAGTTTGTGTGGCCGTTATTTTGTAACTGAAACAAATTATTTTGTAGGTCCCTTCCTAGGCCACTATTCGAGACCTCAGAAGCTGGTGCAATCCTTTGTGGCGCCGCATTGGTACTTGGAGCTACGATAGCTACGATTACTGTTGATAAACTTGGAAGAAAAGTAAGTAAGAACCTAAGCTCTTTATAGTCATGTTGTCCTAGTCATACTTCTGACGGTAATAATAATAATATAACTCTTTATTTGACACCACATGTACAGAGTAATCATATAAAACAAATAATAGACGGTGACATAAATTGACGGCCTTATCGCTGAAAGCGATCTCTTCCAGGCAACCTCGCAGGGAGAGGAATAAGCAATTTAGCATGGACGGTGCTATGTCTTAATAAACTTACATAAAAATATATACTTATATAGACATGTGAAAAATAAATACAATATAAGATAGACTTACATACGATTAAATACAAATAAATACTAAAAATATACAGGTAAATACAAAATAAGTAGCAACTTATACAGTTATATTGTAGGAGCCATATTATTGTGCAAGGTAGTGTGATGACGGTAGTAAAATGATAAGATTTATTTTTTGTTAGTCAAAAGTTCTCTATAAGTATATCGAATATAATACTGTCGTTTTGAATTTCCGTCCGATTCCAGATGCTCCTACTGTGGTCCTGCTCAGGGATAACGTGCTGCCTGATCGTTCTCGGGGTATACTGTGATCCTCACCTGCGCCTGCACTCCTGGTACTCGCAGCGACTGTGGCCTTACACAGACGAAGACACCCAATCAAAGGAATCGATAGAAGCTTTTAATATTACGAGTAACGTAAATTACACAAAGCCCTGGGATTATAGGATAGGTGTGGAAAGTGAGAATTTGACTGACAGCTTCATGATGAGTACGAAGGCTGCTCGGACACATGCAGAGGAGCAAAGGATGTGGGCCCCCGTGGCTTTGCTATCTACAGTATTATTTTTGTACAACATTGGCCTGGGTTCCGTGCCTTTTGTACTCGTCTCGGAGCTTTTTTCGATAAATGTGAGTACTTTTGGCATAAAGCTTTATTTATTTTTAATTGCGCATATGGTCACCCAAATGGCAAGGTAGAAGGCTATGCTCGGAGTATCCCAGCGAGAGTGAATTAAGAATGAGGAGATTGGGAGCAGAAGCACCATGGTCGTAGCCGACATAGTTGGAAAAGTTCCGAGGTTGAAGTCGCAGTGGCTGGTGGTGTTGCTTGCAGAACAAATGGCCGCTTTGGCCAATAATTTTTGAGTGGCAACCGCGTATTGGACATGCACCGTGGGGAAACCTCCCAGGAGGACCAACAAACTACTAAAGTTCGCTGTAATGGACTGGATATGGAAGCGCAGGTTGGCCACTATGAGCCTTTGGAGGGAGGTTTACATCCGGTAATGCAGTGAGCCCACTGTCAGTGGGCTGATGATAATGATATAGTCATGACTTATTGTTACCGTAGCCTATAGACGCTGCCGACCTTAGTAAAAAATCCTTTATATATGATCGTAGCTGATCTTTTTAGCAAAGATAAGTGGGTTATGGTCAAAGCACTAGGGTTTTAACTATGACTTAAATGACCTGCTTAAGGCATGCCCGCTGGTCAGATAGGAAATTAGAGAATTTACCGGAAAAGATAAAGGTGGCTACCTGAGCATTAGTATTAAGTCTGAAGACAGTGGTTTTGTGTGCATTCCACCTATTCTTTGCGGTATTGCGGTAGGCAGCGGCTTGGCTCTGCCCTTGGCATTTCTGAAGTCCATGGGCGACGGTAACCACTCACCATCAGGTGCGTCGTATGCTCGTCTGCCTACAAGGGCAATAAAAAAAAATCTATACGATAAAGAACGATAGCACTCTTGAGAGAGCTGGCTGATTCGAAATTATATGGATCAGTCGCAACCTACATTTCTTGACATTTCCTTATTTGGATAATCGAGAGCGAAGAAAATTGGTGTGAAGAGCTATCATATATATTAGCTATATAATACATGTGCTATGACAATCGATTCAAGCGACACTATTTTTGTAGAACCCGAAATCTTTAATCCTTTATGGATGCTGCCTAAGCATCTAAGCAATATAGAGCTTTGCCTTATTGTCGATTTATTTTAAAAAAATGATATTTTTTTTGTTTATTGCTTAGATGGATGAACGAGCTCACAGCTCATTTGGTGTTAAGTGATTACTGAAGCCCATAGATATCAACAACGTAAATGCGCCACCCACCTTGAGATATAAGTTCTAAGGTCTCAAGTATAGTTACAGCGTCTGCCCCACCTTTCAAACCGAAACGCATTACTGCTTCACGGCAGAAATAGGCAGGTTGGTGGTACCTGCCGCGCGGACTCACAAGAGGTCCTACCACCCAGTTAACCAAATTCTCAATTCAAAATTTCCAGGTCCGTAGTCTGGCATCAAGTCTGCTCATTTCATGGACGTGGCTGAGCAGCTTTCTCCTTCTGAGGTACTACGGTACTATTGCTGTCTCTCTCGGTCTCCACGGAACCTATTACATATCAGCTTCCATCACGTTTCTGGCATCCTTGTACATATTCCTGGTCTTGCCCGAAACGAAAGGGAAATCGCAAGAGCAGATTGAAGAAATCCTCAATGGGCCAATGTTGGTTTTGAGGAGCACGAAGAAGAACCAAAATCAACGATGACGTTTTTTAGATATTTTTTTGGTCTTCTAGTTGAAGTCAGGAAGGAAAATGGCCAAATACGTAATTTGTAATTTAAGCAATCAATTAATTTTTCACTTTTTTTTTTTTTAATTAACTAAATTTATCTTTTAAGTTTGTATGTCCATTAAGAAACATCTGTTGTCCGCTTACAACATCCAAAATATATGGATTTGTTTAGAAAACATAACTTTATGAACCAACCCTCGTATTTATAATTGAGTATTGATGTATTCTAAATACTACGTGCACGGAATCCCAAAGTAGATAACTAATGTTGTTGTAATAAGAACCTCAATAGAAAAGGGTTTCCACTGCCTCAATAGTATATTCATAAAATGAGGTTCCTGACCTTTTTAAAGAATTTATAAGGAATATGGATGGAAGAAGTACGGGTCAGACAATATGACCATTATACGTACCGAGTCCATTTTGGAAGATACGTTTTTGACAATGTTTGTGATATTATAAAAACCAATGTCATATTATAAAAGGAATTGAAGATACACATCGCAGGACCAACAAACATATTATTTGTGTTCTACATGTGCATTTAGAATAAGCGTTAGTTTTTATAGATAAGTTAAAAGATCAGCACGTGTTAGAAGATCTACACGCCATTAATAGTTCTACTGATGACTTAAGGAGTAGGGTAGGTGTCATGGCATATATTTAAGACCAGTGGTGGTTATGTATGGTGGTGGATTTTTAGATGCCACTCCACACTGTGGGTCGTGAGTTAGTTGCTCATCTACAGCCATAAAAAACACATATGTATTTATTTGGTAACTAAAATGTAGTAGCATGCCCTGCGCACACGGGTATGTAGCTACCTATTTCTTGAATCAATTTCAAAAGTTAATTTATGACTCGTATTTGTGATGTTTTAGCCACCGATTTTCTGAAACACAATGCCTTATGTGCCCCTACGGTTGCTGGAAATTTGAACCTAATGGTAACCGTATTGAGGGCTCCGTACCAAGGCATGATGTTCAACCGAGCGGTGATTTTGCTGTGTAAGCCGATTGTCATTGTCAAATCTATACTAAATTGTTTTCATTAATCTGAGATTAGTTGTTACCTTTACAGCTTCAAAGTGGGTTTCTATACATCCTATGTGTTTGTTACTCGAAGATACTCATGCTCGGTGTTAACAGTAATTAAAAAAAATTGTAGCCAGTGGAAAATAGATTATTTACGAATAAATACATAGGAACATAGAAGCAGTAGATTTAGATGATATTAAAATATTTGCTTTGGTATCGTTGACCGGGGAGAAGAAAGAACAGGGTAATACTTGTGAATAGACAAAAAAACCTCACTTTTGATTTCTATTAGAAATCTCCACGATAATTTCTAGAGTGAAAAAGAAGAAAGCGAATAACATCGCTCAACTTGGAACGGAATATCAACCTAGAGTATATTGGCATAGGAACTATTTACCCTTTTAACTTACTTGCGGTAGAAATAGTCAGAATTACGAAGAGTCAAATTTTTCTTTAAGCTTCGAAAGTAAGAGCTACCTCAGAGAAATCTGTCTCTATAGATAACTGGAGTGGTTAGTCCACTACTCAGGCTCCTCGCCAGTATTATACTTAGAACATTAAAATGAATGGTAAATAAATTTGAACCAAAATGCAACCAAATATATTAGACTTGTATAATTCTAATAATATAGTAAATAAGTGTTGAACATTTTGCGTAGATATTACATTTATTCATAATGGATATTTTTGATGACACAAACACGACAATTTGCCTGATAGACTTATTTTTGATAATAGCTAAAGTGCTATTCGTTGAAGATTTTTTTAAGGGATCGTTTTAAGATGATCCGACAATGTCCTTTAACAAATAGTTTTATGAGATCGCTACCACTGTATCATAGCTCACTTCTGCTGTCTGGAATCTTTGTGAAATATTAAATCGAAGAGTCCATAGTAGTGTTCAATCATGCACTGACATTTCTTATGTTCCAGATTAGAAAGATTCTGCATCTTTGTTTCTAAATATATTTTGTACTGTATGCTTTAAGGGAAGTGTTCTGAAGAATCATTTGAGTAGATCCTACTATATACTGGGTTTTTTTTACATAGTTACAGCGGCTGCCCCACCCTTCAAACCAAAACGCATTACTGCTTTACGGTAAAAATAGGCAGGGTGGTGGTACCTATCTGATGAGGTCCTACCACCAGTAATTATGCAAATTACGCAATTAATTACGCATCTCCCGTCACCGGTTCAGACCTTATTCCTGCTGTGGTCGCTGCGCATATCTACGGTTAAGATACTTTTGCTACGGATCATTAGGCTCTGAGAGGAATTTCCCTCTAGGGTGGTTTCCACAGCGCTAGGACAGGTCCTGTTTCAAATTAAATTTGAAAATAGCCCTCGCCTTTAGATAGAGAATGATTTAGATGTGTCCCCAGTTTTTTTGTATGTTCCTGATATGATAAGATGCCAGATATAATCTTTTATTATCTGAGTGATTGCGCAAGAAAAATATTTTTCATGTTCATGTTTTACGATACCCAAATCGAGAATCTCAAAACATATTTTGTTAAAACGTCTCGTGAATACATAACTTAGCAATCGAATCCGATTTTTATGTACAGAACCAATACTTAGATAATAATGCTCGAACCAAAAAAAAATATTCATGTTGAATATAATTTATTTGTGGATATATTGTATGTACGTTGTATGTTTTGTATGGATGAATAAAAGCTTTATATGTGTTTGGCTTTTATATTATAAATGTATCGTAAGACCATTCCTAATAAAAATACATTCATTACTTTTTTTTATTGCCCTTATAGAGGCAGAAGAGCATACGGCCCATCTGATGGTGAGTGGTTACCGTCGCCCATCGACTTCAGCAATGCCAGGAGCAGAGCCAAGCCGCTGCCTACCTACTGCAGTATTATTGAGACAGCTAATATTTTTAGAAAAATACACGTCTTACTTTGACTATATAGTCAATACTTTGACGGATACCCAAGCTCACGGCTCACCGGTTGTTAAATATTTACCGGAGCCCATAGACATCAGAACGTGAATACTCCCGCCCAACTTAAAAGATGAGGTCAAGATCAAGCATATATAAAAAAATTTTTAAGACGCATCTTCATTTATTTCAATAACCAACAAAATAAACATATTATCTTAATCATAATATTTAAATAACGTTAGATCAATAGTCTTTTACGAACACACACAGCCTAATTACAAAAAAAAAATGGTGCGCATGCACACGCAAGAAGTGAATCATCTTTTGCGGTATGTAGTATTGTGGTTATCTTTATTTATCATCCTTAAATCAAATTTATCTTGTAACAGGGAATGCTGTGTATAAGAGAAACGACCTAGCTTGCTTTCTCCCTCTCTCCAAAGTCAAGTGGATCGCGAGACGCTCTGTCTATTTTCTCACTCTCGCTCGTCCTAACTTGTATTTTTTCTCTCTAGCCGTAACGAATCTGTTGCGAGTTAAATTTAACTCTCAACGCGCCTAAAGAAGTTTCACTTCAATAATAGGAAGTCAAATGACTCCGCTATTACAGCCTAATATTACCTAAAACGATATCTTCATACATTTTTTGTGTTAAAGGCACGTATTCCCCTAACTTCTGATCTAAGAAGTACAGAGGATCCTTACATACATTTACATTATAAGCTACTTCCATTAGCTCTTTCTTTTTTAGTTTAAACGTGGCTGTTAACGGAGTTTGCGGGAGGATTCTCAGAAAGAGCGGCCGAGCGTAGACCGGCAGGGAGGTCTTTAGTCCTTTTGATAATGCAGCTATGTCTATATTGTGATCCGGGTCAGCTAGTGCCGCCATACCAGCTTTGCCTTCGGTGTTCGGTATCTGTTAAGGAAGTTTAACAAATATTGTTATGGGAAACAATGTTTTTGGGTAGAAGGTATCGGAAAACCGCATAGATGCTTCAGCTTGTAGAATGGTATCGCTAATATTATCAAACGATTTGTGGGTGTAAATGAACCGGCTTTAAATATTTTTTGGGGTTATAGACATTTTATTGTGAATCTAACCACCCACTTTGAAACATAGGTTCGAAGGTTCTCTCGCCCTCCAAATCGGAAGGTGAGAGTTTTGGGTCAAAATAGCCAGATAGTACTTTTGTGGGTAATATGCTTATGTTTCATTTAAATATGCAAAGATTAAAGGGTTTACAATAAAGTGATTTTCTTTATAATTTTTTTGTTGGTCTAGTGCTTAATAATCCTTTTCATCATAGAGTGCTGCTCCGGTTTTTAATCCGTGTTATTGAAGATAGTTATTCCCGTTAGGTCTGTTTTCTGTACTCGTAAAAAAGGAGAGGGAAATCTCGAGGTCATCGACATTGGAACGTTCGTTCTTTTTTTTTATTGCTTAGATTGGTGGACGAGCTCACAGCCCACCTGGTGTTAAGTGGTTACTGGAGCCCATAGACATCTACGACGTAAATGCGTCACCCACCTTGAGATAAGTTCTAAGGTCTCAAGTATAGTTACAACGGCTGCCCGCCCTTCAAACCGAAACGCATTACTGCTTCACGGTAGAAATAGGCGGGGCGGTAGTACCCAGCCGTGCGGACTCACAAGAGGTCCTACCACCAGTAAATTCGTTCGTAATTAAAGAACTGTTCGACTTACTGTAACGCCATAGACAATAGCATCCTTCAGTCCAACTAGATTGCTAATAACCCCCTCAACTTCTGCAGTTGAAACGTTTTCGCCGCGCCATCTGGAAGACAACACATTAACAATCTGAGTTTCTATATAATTAGTTAAGTTGAGTTGAGCCCATCAGATTTTCCTAGTAGACGCCGTCGTCCATCAAGAGATAAGGTCTAAGTATTTATTGTTTTGATTAAAGATTGCTCAATGCTTCAAATCAGAACGCTTGGCTGTTTTTCGGTAAAAATGAACTACAGCTTTTTTTTTTGCTTAGATGGGTGGACTAGCTCACAGCCCACCTGGTGTTAAGTGGTTACTGGAGCATATAGACATCTACAACGTAAATGCGCCACCCACCTTGAGATATAAGTTCTAAGGTCTCAAGTATACCACGTCACCACTTGTTACCACGAGCTCACAGTACGCCATACAACTAGTAATCATGCCATAACATTATTTCGGCTCAATTCCTGTTACACGACGCGTGAATGCGTTCTTCAAGAAGTGCCAATTTTACGGGAACGTGTCTTAAAGCAAATTTATTTTAAACGACAAAGGGTAGACTTTCTCACGAGTGGGTGTTAAGGCTGACTAGACGACGATCGGAATGTTATATTCGGAATTTGCACATTATGTGCTCTTATCTTGAAAATTTCGTTAGCGCGATATAGGTCTTCAGCGTAACTACTACTACATAGAATATAATTAAACACTACTGTCAATGATAGAACTACCATTTTATAATATATGTACAAGGTGGGCCAAAAGAAATCACCCTATTAGAAGATGCTCTTATTTTTGCAAATGGCCGTCAACGCCAAATCTATTTTGCTATTTGTGGACTAGACAGGTGTAGAATACAAGTGAACAAGCCACGGAGCTGTACACTCCCCAAGAATTCAGAATAATCCTGTCTATTTTTTGCGTAACAATTCGTGCCTTTCAATTAGTCATTAGCCGGTCGTCCCTAAGGCGAATTTTGGTCAAAGACCTGCGCATGTTCCTGTACAAAGTCCAGTCCGTACATCAGCTGCTGGCTGTCGACCAAAATCAAATTGAGCGATGAGGCTCATTTCCACCTCAGCGGGTACGTAAACAAGAAGAACTACCGCTTCTAGGGCACAGAAAATCCACAAGTGATGCACGAGAAGCCATTACACCAGCTCAAAGTGACTGCATGGAGCGCTGTTCACGCTGGAGGAGTTATTGTGGCATTTTTTTTTCGAGAACGCCGCTGGTCAAACCGCAACAATGGATGGTACGTGCTATAGGGCCAATTGGGACCAGAGGACATGTGGTTCCAACAGGACGGAGCAATGGCACACACTGCGCGAGCCACACCCGATATTCTGAAGGCGGCATTCCCGGGTTGCCTCATTTCTCATTTTGGCGATTTGCACTGGCCCGCAAGATCGCGCGATTTAACCGTTCCAGGCTTTTTTCGTGGGGTTTTTTGAAGTCCCGGGCTTACGTGAACAAGCTCGAGACCCTCAAGATCAACATTCGACACGAGTGCGAGAATCTGTCGCCCAAAGTTCTTGCCGAAGTGATGAAAAATGCCATAAAACGAGCCTGTAAGGCAATCAATTGTGACGGCGCCCATTTGGCCGATATCATCTTCTCGACCTACCAATAAAATTGTAAAGGTTCAAATAAATATAATCAAAAAACAGAATCGAAGTTTTTCATTTAGAAAAAAAATGAGAGCCAAAAAACATCGGATGACTTCTTTTGGCCCACGTTGTATATGTCGCAGTCTCTGTAAGTGTTAACAATTGAGTTTTTTCGGAAACGTCAAGTTGTTCAGTTGGGTAAGGTCGATACAGCGATGGCAACACTAGTTTCCGATGAATTGACGTTTGAGTCTGTTTGACAGTTGACGTTTGAGGTATAGTTTTACGAAAAAGAAAGGTCCGCCATCATTCTGTATGAGAGTACCGATCCGAACGGTTATTACTTGTTACTAGTTTATGTGTATTATCTATGATTACTTGGTCATGTGCGTCGTTGTAACGAATTTTTCGACCAATCTCGATCTATACGTTCGATCATTAGTGATTCTCTGTTAAATTGTTTGCTACAGTGAAAATAAACGTTTGTATTGAATGTCCAAGCTGTTATTTTGAGTTTTCGACGATGTGTTATCAACCTCATAGCCGTAACGAGTCAACCTACCAATCAATATAGCATATACCTAGTCAATATAACTAGTACTATTATACGTCTATGATAAGCATCGATCAATATTTTATTGAAGGGGTACTCCCTCGAAGTGGTCCTATTTTTAAATCGAAATGATGCATCACACTTGAAGTCTGTGTTTTTTTTTTTTGTATTAGTCACTGGGTCATTCACAGAGCTTATCGACTAACTTTAGCGTTTCAAGGTCGCAGATAAGCGGTGCTGTGACCGATAAGCATACAATGTTGTAACTACAATAGATAAATGTGTAATTTTTAGAAAGCGTTTTAGTAAACTAATAAATTCTTCAATAGCGCAGCTCTGCTTTTTGAATTTGGTGTTCATTTTTTGAAGTGAAACTTCTTTATCGGCGTTGGAAAAAAATTTACCGTCACATTTTTCGGTTACGCGTCACATTTTTCCGTTACGCGCCATCTTTTTTGTATTCATGTCTATGATAATAAAATCCTTTTGTTTAAACTTTATCTAATTTAACTTTATTTAACCAATTTCTAGAAAGTTGCATGTAGATCATTTTTCGAAAAATAAGGCCATAAAGAAGTTTCACTTCTTACGTGTGTACACTAGTACACGCACACATTTTTTTGAAGTGAAACTTCTTTATCGGCGTTGGAAAAAAATTTACCGTCACATTTTTCGGTTACGCGTCACATTTTTCCGTTACGCGCCATCTTTTTTGTATTCATGTCTATGATAATAAAATCCTTTTGTTTAAACTTTATCTAATTTAACTTTATTTAACCAATTTCTAGAAAGTTGCATGTAGATCATTTTTCGAAAAATAAGGCCATAAAGAAGTTTCACTTCTTACGTGTGTACACTAGTACACGCACACATTTTTTTTTATGATTTTAGGTTCTTTGAGGAAAAGCCTCTTTCACGTTTTATAATTGGAAATAATTAAGTGAAGTTTATTAACAATTTCATAAGAACGGTGCTTTATTATATGATTTGATAACACAAATAATCTATCTATATAATATATAAAAATTAATTGCTGTTCGTTAGTCTCGCTAAAACTCGAGAACGGTTAGACCGATTTGGATAATTTTGATTTTGAATTATTTGTGGAAGTTCAGTGAAGGTTTAAAAGGTAGATAAATATGAAAATGCTCGGAATTAAATAAAAATAACAATTTTGTTTTTACTTTGATGTGTCCCCCGTCGGACGAATTCCTTTTGTTTGTTTTAAGTTTATGTTATACAAAAGCTTAGGACTTTTATTTATCAATTGAGGCACTACGAAGTCTGCCGGGTCAGCTAGTTGGAAAATAAATAAGTGAAGCTCATTAGCAATATCATAGGACCAGTGCAAATTTATTATATGATTTAATATCACAAATAAGAATGTTATAATAATAGAAAGTATAAAAAAATTATTGAATTTGTTTAAAAGAAACAGAGTGAGCTAAGATATCGTTTGTTTTTATATTCAACTATATAGCTGTACCCGTCCGCTTAGCTTGGTATTTAAATTTAACATCATTATTTCTCACCCCCATAAAGATTCTTATCATTAACGCCCTCGCAACTGCTGTAAGGAGTTCAACACTCATATAAATATTAGCCTATCCATTAATTACATGTATTTTCTACATAGATACCATGTTTCAAGTCAATCGGATGCATGGTTCAGTAGTTATAATGGAACATCCGTAAAAACCACTGTAGATTTATATATTAGTAATAAATAGATAAGGCAAACCGTGATTTGGATTATTTCTAGAAGATTTTTCTTTTTACACAAAATAGGTACTAGGCAATCATAGCTTGGGAGGAGCTTACCGGAACGTGTCTCCGGTCCGATCCTTGAAATAAAAGTAGCCATAGTGATCCATCACTAGAATGTCTCCTGTATTGAAGTAGCAATCGCCTTCGATCCTCACGTTGCGGACCATCTTCTTTTCGGAAGCAGTCTTGTCAGCGTAGCCAGCGAACGTCAGAATGGCTTTCTTTGGATCAATTTTTCCTAACAACAACCCTGGAATTGGAAACGTCTTTTAATTCCAACCTTTAATCATATCAGTCAATTTTAAGCCTTTTTTATTGCTTAGATGGGCGGACGAGCTCACAGCCCATCTGGTGTTAAGAGGTTACTGGGGCCCATAGACATCTACAACGTAAATGCGCCACCCACCTTGAGATATAAGTTCTAAGGTCTCAGTATAGTTACAACGGCTGCCCCACCCTTCAAACCGAAACGCATTACTGCAGAAATAGGCAGGGTGGTATCTACTCGCGCGGACTCACAAGACGTCCTACCACCAGTAATTACGCAAATTATAATTTTGCGGACTTGATTTTTAGTACACAATGTTATTCCTTCACCGTGGAAGTCAATCGTGAACATTTGTTAAGTACGTATTTCATTAGAAAAATTGGTACCCGCCTGCGGGATTCGAACACCGTTGCATCGCTAGATACGAAGCACCAGCCGTCTTATCCTTTAGGCCACAACGACTTCACACAATGATAAAAAGTGCGTATGTGTTCGAAGCGTGTCTAAAAGCGCACACGCAGAGATTGATAGGTTTGTGATGAAACAGAAAATACTACTTACTACGGTACGGTAGTAGTTCTCCTGTCATGGCAATAATTCGCCTCAAATTATCTTAACTATCCGTAAAGGTTTTTTTTTAATATCTAATAATTATAATATATTATTATTTTCGTCGTTTCTAAATGTAAGTAATCTCAAAATATTTTAGAAAGAAACTTCTTCAGTGGTCGCTAACTCACAAAGATTTTATAGATGAATTAATATAACATTTGAAACGATAATTTAAAATGATTACCGATACGTACCAGGCTCGTGTGGTCCACAAGTTATACAACGTCCATGGTCATCTCTCAGTATTTCACCAGTTATTTCGTCACACCTTAAATCGTTAACTGTGCTGTTAATTTTAATTAACCAAATAAAATAAAATAAATAGTTTAAAAAAACTAACAAAATACGCTTTTATAAAAAATCCAACAAAAAAATTGAAAAGAAATTTTAATAAAATTTAATTAAAATTAATATTTAAAAGGGTGCTTTTCAGTATATTACCAAACCCTTCTACTCATATCTGCTTAGAAAATATTTATAACTTATACCATGCACCCCACGCTTTTCTACAATAAAATAATTTTTTTCTTACACTATTTTTAATTCAAATTTATTAAAATTTATTTTCTATTATTTAGTTGGATTTTGTATATAAGTGTGTTTTGTTAGTTTTTTTAAACTATTATTTATTTTTTAGTTGAATTTCAATTTTTTCAATATTTTAAAAAAAATTGAATTATCATCGGTCCTTAACACGTATACCAAATTTCGAGTTAGTCCGACGTTTTGAAGGGGGTCAAAATCATGTTCAAAGATTCCGTTACATACTAACATACATACGTCTGTAGCTAATAAAATCGTATTAAAAAAATTAAATTGTAGATACCAAAAAAAACTTACCTAACTAGCGTTAAAGGGTATATTGATGAGACCAGTCTACTCAAAAAACCGATCGCGCCGACTTTATTATCCAAATTAACTGAAAATATCAGGAATAAGTTTTAAATATCACTAGGGCAGCATTTTTACTGGTGGTAGGACGTCTTGTGAGTCCGCACGGGTAGGTATAATAACCGGCAAACTTCTTGAGCATTTGTTGACGTAGTGGGGGTAAGTTTGCGCATGGTACACTCACGTGCAAAAACATTACTTACTCTGCGTCATAATGCTATTAAATTATTAAAATCAACATATGTATTTATTTATATATTTATTAGAACATCAACAAAACATATAGGTTAATAATTTAATCTTGGGGTAAAATAGATATTCCTTCTATTAAGTCAAAACTAGAGCTGTTGCCAGGTCTTGGTTCAGTTAAAGCGAAGCTGGTATTTGTAATTTTTTTTTCGTTATCATAATCTTGACCATCATCATCATCACTGTTTTCATCACCCGAGTCGCTATCATCGTGATGAGTCGACATAGGGCTCATCGGCGTAGTTTACAACTCGGTCGATTCGGTCTTCTTTTTTGTCTATAATTAATTATTTTTTGAAGATATTCGATTCGTAGTAATCGAATGTTACTTTTTTCATTTACCAGCTTCCGATTATTTTCTGTTCTTTTTTTCCATCTGAAGCCTAGCTCTTTCATAATTCGTCGTAAGCTTCATTCCGAGCCATTAAAATTTATATCTTCTTTAAATTTTTCGAAGCCTTTCTACGGTACGGAGTTTCGCTGCTTGTTATGTAGTTATTATGATTACATCTTTTTATTACAGATTGAACGAAACTATCCATTCCGGTAACTTTCTTCTTCCCTGATCTTTTCTTACCCGGAGTCCGAAACACGGCGAGCAAGCCAGAGCCTTTAGCTTCGTTAATAATGCACCTAACAGTACTCACTGATGTTTTTGTTGCTTCCGAAGTCTGTTTTAATTTTTCCATATCATTCTTCCCCTGTTTTATAATGAAGCAATATACGTCGTACACAAATTTTCTACCCTTTCTTTTAAGTACTACACCAGTTTGTCACGGCATAGTGTATGTTTTATAAAAAATCAACAAACACTCAACAAATAGCAATGGCAACAAAGTCCACAAGCAATTATAACAAATAACTTAACGATTAATAACGATAGACTTTCCACTGTACGCAAGCGTACTTTTGGGAGCAAGCGGAATGAGGGCGCGGTGCGGGACGCAAGGTTCGACTGATCTACCAATAACGCGCTCGATACGATTTCCCCTGCCGTCGCGCCTCACCCTCACCACCAAAGTGACCTAAAATTCGGTTCTGCGCAGTCAAGGTCATTTGCTCACGAAGTTTGCCGATTACTATACCACCGCCCTGCCTGTTTCTATCGTGAAGAAGTAATGCGTTTCGGTTTGAAGGGTTGGGGCAGCCGTTGTACTGTTAAAACTGAGACCTTAGAACTCATGTCTCAAGGTGGGTGGCAGCATTTACTTTGTAGATGTCTATGAGCTCCGGTAACTAATTGACACCAGGTGGGTCGTGAGTTCGTCCACCCATATACTATCCAGTAGAAAACAAATTACTCACTGAGATTGCTGTTTCCTTCTGTGGCTCCGTAGAATTCTAAAACTCTGCCTATGCCGAAACGGTCAACGAACTCTTGCCAGATCTGGGGCCTTAGTCCGTTGCCGAAGATAACCTTAACTTTATGCGCCTTATCGCTAGGACCAGCGGGAACAGAGAGCAAATAACGGCATATTTCACCAATGTACTGTGCCGCCTGAAACAAAAAATCTGTTTTTATAAAATAGTTTCGTAAAATCAAACTTACAGCACAGATAAAATTAATTTATAGATAGATATTGGACAGTCAAGATAAAAGAAAAGAGAATCGGTTGGCAAGAAATAAGAAATTGGTATTAAAGTTATTATTTCTCATTTAAAAACATATTATATTATTCCTATATTTCTTAAATAACCCTAATGTAAAGCTAATCGATAGCTGCTAAATAAAAAACAAATTTTAGATGGCAGAGGAGAAAATAGTTTTTGAGTTATCCTTAATAATTCCAATTTGCTTGATTTCGACTACATTGTTCCACATAAGACTTCGTTTTATTTTGTTGAAGCCGGTTTTTTTTTGTTGAAATTTGGAGTTATATCAATTACATTTCTTTCTGATCTTCTTCTTGCCTTTCTTCCACTATGTGGGTTCGACGCTGCGTGGCTTCTTTTTCCATTCAGGCCTATCATTCGTCATCTCTGCACTCACACCCTTCTCTCGTATATTTTCTTTCACACAGTCGATCTAATTATTTTAATGAAAATTCCTTCCAAACAAAAATAAATATTACTCCAACTTACAGTGCATCCATGTTTCGCTGCATCACTCCAATAGTTGGAGGCTGAGAATTTCCGTCTCAGTACTACGGTGCAGCCTTGGGTTATTGCTTGCCCAGCCCCTAGGACCCCACCAGCCGTGTGGTGCAACGGTAGTGGATCGTAAACCACGTCCGCCGGAGAAAGTCGAGCCGATGTAAATACTCCTAGAGGGATTAGGAGAAATCTGAAAGGAGATTGATGGATTATTGTACAACGGCCATCTGATTTATAATTAATGAAATCAAATGAATTCCAAATAAGAATCATCGCCAGCGTTTGAAGATCTTTTCGTACCAGGGAATTTTACTAAGCAGATATAGTGCACATGATAAATGCCTTTTATTTAATGCCTTGTCTAGTGGTGCGTGGTGCAACAAGAATTTGATTCTCTTCCCTGGTATGACGTTCAAGTCTCAAATTCCATGAAAGCTTTAATTGGAGGAACTGCGACAATATTTTCAGTGGACAATCATTATGTATACCTGATATTTGTTATAATGGCCGCTTTAGGAAACCCAGTCGTTCCGCTAGTGTAAATATACAATAAGGTGTCTCTTGGATTTGTTGGCACTATAGGAAAAGTTTCAGAGGACATTTCCTCTAGCTCAGCGGCTAATGGCACTGTATCTTGTAAGACTGTACTGCCGTCTCTCTCTGGCGAATTGAATTGAAAGAGAGGCATGTCATGGATTTCGCTCTGAATTTCTTTTATAGCTGTAACAAAGTAGTTATTATTATTGAATATATAAATAATTCAACCAGTTTTAAACCAAAGTCTGCGTCTGTTTTTAAATGCGAATAAATTAACATAAGTTGGAGTAGAATTTATTTTCGCGCCAACATTAAATGCCTTTTTGCCTCAAATAAAACGTTTATATTTTATGGCGTTTTGCGGCCACAGCTCACATTAAATATTGCTAAAACACACCCAACTGCGTTTGGTCACCCTAGCTCATCAGCTTTGCCATTGGTACTATCGAGGTCTTACAGTTTAGGACTATTTACTAATGTCGCTGTAAGAATAGAATTTCACTTTAATGTTAAGTCACTTTTTCTCACTTTAGTTTTAATTACGCCAGCAATGCATTTTAAACAGTAGACGATAAACGTCATTGGAATAAAATTAAAAATTTTAATGTCACCTTCAAAGGCTTACAGTGACTGGTACAGAATTTTTGATTTTATAAATACAATTAAATACAAACAATTTAAACTATAAATTAAAATAAATGGCCATATAAATTCACGGGCTAGATGGCTTTAAGCAGTTACCATAGTTTTTGGATTATCGACTTCGAAATTTTAAATGTATTTTTGTGAAATTTTAATGGTATTTTATTTCATTCTATTATTACTGGTGGTAGGACCTCTTGTGAGTCCGCACGGGTAGGTACCACCGCCCTGCTTATTTCTGCTGTGAAGCAGTAACGCGTTTCGGTTTGAAGAGCGGGACAGCCGTTGTACTATTAAAAGTGAGACCTTAGAACTTATATCTCAAGGTGGGCGCATTTACGTTGTAGATGTCTATGGGCTCCAGTAATCACTTAACACCAGGTGGGCTGTGAGCTTGTCTACCCATGTAAGCAATAATATTGTAACAGCTGTTGTATCTTCCAAACTGGAATGTACGTCTGCTTTACGGGAGCCAAATGCGAAATAGCTGATTCTGACCCTTATTTCTAGGGGAGGGATCGAGCCTCATACAAAGTCCCCGCAGCTAGGAAGCGTGTGAGGTATGTGGGATTGGACAATCCGATAATGGACGATGTTGGGAGCGGACCGCGGACCATCCTTGAGATGGTATTTAAGGCCCTACCCGCTCTAACTATACGCTTTGCCAAATGTAAATCAAGTTATTTATGTGTCTATATACGTGCGTTGTAATTTAATAAGTTTTTTTTTGTGATTGAGAGATTACTGGTGGCCCGGAGGCCTTTCCAGTTTCACCGGGACAGGTGGGCGAGCAAAGGTTCAGCCAAGAGGGGTGGGATTTGCTAACAGCTGCCCGAGCGCCTCCGCCTTCGGAGACCTTACAACTTAAGATCAGCTGCAAATGAATCTACTACCGGATCGGAATCGCGACCCACTGAGAAGATCACGATTTGGGGAGTTTTTTTTATTTGTTTTTTATTGCTTAGATGGGTGAGCAAGCTCACAGCCTACCTGATGTTAAGTACTTAGGAGCCCATAAACATCCACAACGTAAATGCGCCACCTACCTTGAGATATGAGTTCCAAGGTCTCAAGTATAGTTACAACGGCTGCGCCACCCTTCAAATCGAAACGCATGACTGCTTCACGGCAGAAATAGGCAGAGCGGTGGTACCTACCCGTGCGGACTCACAAGAGGTCCTGCCACCAGTAATAGTAGTCAGCGGCGGCAACAATCAGGCGATTATTAAATTTAATGAGGTGCAAATTAACCAACCCTTGTCACAGGTCGCCGACATAAAATTATTTTTACGGTTTTTGTAAAATCATCATATTCATTTTTCATTTCTTTTATTTCATGTTTCGAATGCTGTATGGTTTTAAAGTCGTCGTGGCCTACGGAATAAGACGGCCGGTGCATTCGTATTTAGCGATGCGACTGTGCCGATGTTTGAATCCCAAAAGCAGTTACCAATTTCGGCTGACGAAATACGTACTTAACAAAAGTTCACGAATTACTTCCACGGTGAAGGAATAGCACCGTGCAATAAAAATCAAGCCCTCAAAAATTAAAATTTGCGTTATTACTAGTGGCAAGGCAAGTTTTGAAGGGTGAGGGTAAAAAAGAGCCGATGTACTTAAAAACGGATACTTAAAACTCATGTTTCAAAGTAGGTGACAACAATTACATTGTTGATGATTATGGGCCCTGGTGACCACTTAAAGTCAGGTCTAATCTTTTACAGAAAAAAATTACACAAGAACAGTACTAAGTACTAGTTCTTCATAAACATTAAGAACTTACCGTCCGCCATTTCGTCGCCAAATACGACAGCTTTGCATCCAACTATTCTCAAACAGTGAATCAATTGTTGACCTCTTAGATTTGTATTCACTAATGCAGTCGTGACCTTCATTTTAGCTAAACCTAGCCACACAAAGATGTATTCTGGTTGTGTCTCCATGAATAGAGCTATTACCTCACCGCTTTTGAAGCCTTGACGTTTAAAGTACCAGGCTATGCGGTTACTAAAGTCTTCTCCCTAAAAAAATTAAAAATAAATACGGCTCACGCCCAAGTTCCTTTATACATGAAGAATCAATAAACAAGCAACCTTTTCCTTAATTGCTATAGCTATACAGGCGATTTCGAGGCCCATCTGATTTATAAGTGGATACCGAAGCTCATAGATATCACAACGTGAATGCCTTTAACGACCTCAAAATATAACGTCAACATCTCAAACCTCAATTTTCCGTGCGTGACCACATGTGATCTAATGAGCTCTAAAAGAGTCTTCTCGATTAGGAAATTTATTACCAGGTGGGCCGAATGTTGGCTTGCCTTCGAGGATTTTTAAAATAATATTTTAAATCCTATGACTCTGTAGAATCTTATGTATCTAAGCAGAATTTTAAGCATGATGAATACCGATTAGGCCTTGAATACCGATAATACCTTTTCTAATCAACGCTATCCTTAGTTATCTACGTTCCTACACTAGATAATATAACATACGACTGACGTAAAAATTTGGCTCAAAAGTGAAACATACTTTTTTAGTTTTGAGATCGCAAAGAGTTAGGGAGGTTTTATTAGATTTGTCAACGATGTACGATTGATTTATAAAACCCCTTGTTTAGGATGTTAAAAGATTACATCTTGCGGCGAATATTTACCTGACGAAAGGTGAGAGCCCTGTCCCCCATGATAAAAGCCTTCTTTTCCGGATACAGCTTCGCTATTTCCGCCCACCTTGACACCACTGACTGGCCTTGTTTTTCCCAGCGCCATATCCTGAACATTGTCGCTAACAGTACCCTTAGACCTCTGAAAGAATACATACCTACCGTAAGTTTATTTAAAACTAGCGACCCGCCCTCGCTTCGCTTCGGAAACTGTAATTTATTATTGATTTCTCCACAATTTAATGGATGTTATTATGCATATAAACCTTCCTCTTCAATTACTCTATCTATTAAAAAAAACCGCATCAAAATCCGTTGCGTAGTTTTAAAGATTTAAGCACACATAGGGATATAGGGACAGAGAAAGCGACTTTGTTTTATACTATGTAGTGATGAGAAAGCAGAAACACAAAATTCAAGTTTAAGTGTATTCTTTTTACGGTTTTGTTTTTAAAAAACAAATGAAATATTTGAATTTGATTATTGCGCTTGGATTAATCACGTTGATGTTTCTTCAGTCCCTCACACTTCAAACCGAAACGCATTACCGCTTATAAGATGTCTAACTACCAGTTATTATTTATGAAATGGTCAATACCATTGATGTTAAGGCAGAGCACATTTGCTCGAAGCAAATCGCGTCGGAAAACGTAGCGTTGGCCTTCCACGTCGGAGACCAACGACCTGCTAGAGGATGCGGAAACCTACTCGGATGTGGGCTGTATAGGACCGGTCATTGTGACGTACCTTGGGCGAAGTCTAAGTCCAGCAGTGGACGTCTGTGGGCCGATGATGATGATGAATCACCGGGATCATCACGGCCGAACAAAATAAAACCGAATAAGTCTTTAATATTAAATTTCCTCAAGTACCAGGCAATCATAAACTCAAAAGAAGTAACCACTCAATGTGCGTATGTTGGCTGGAGCCAATCATTCAATAAATAATACAATTATACTTAGGGGACATCGCGTTATATTATTTACTGCTATAATAAGGCATGTACATTAAATCAAACAATGGCCATTTGTCACATAATAAATCATTTACGTAATTATGCACGTCTTTTTACAGTTTCATACTAAATCAAGATTCAAGGCAGAATAATAATTAGTTATAATAATAATTGTAACATCTAATAATTAGACTTGCAGCTTAGTGTGTTGGTATTTTCTGTCCAATATATGTACTATGTACATATTATTATATTTTTATGCCTAATTAATTTGTTAAATTATTATATAATATATAAATAGGTATATGATTTTATATGTGTGAGGATAATTATACAAATATGGAAATTATATATTTTGATTATGATATTACGAGATAATATATACGGCGTTGCATGTATTTGTATGAATATATACTGTGTGTGTTTGTATACATATGAACACATATATTATTATTATTTTTTCTATTTTTCTCAAAAAGGAATGCACCCACCGCAGGACTCTCTACACCACTCTTGGTTGGATGGTAGAGTATGACTTGCCTAAAATAAAAATAAAATTGCAGATATTCGAAGCTTACTACTATAAGAATTGATTCCACACTAGTGGTCTCCGAGTAGTCGATATTCGACTATAATTATTTGAAATTATAAGTTTGAACACTGTTACAGTTTTTTTACTACAGTTCTCGCTCTATGGTACTTAAAAATCGACTAAGCATGAATAGGTTCCCCTTATTACATAAAATTTGTTTGGTCTGTGGTACAAAAATTTTTCAAGTTCGTAGACTTTTTGGCGGGAAACCAAGGAGTGAAGTTGTGTGATTTGTTTTGTCTATTTAGTGTTTCTTCAGGTTTAAATGTGTAATGTCGGATGTTTATTAACTGTTTAATATCTGTGAAAGTGCACAAATGTGGGAAAATGAAACAAAGCCGCTGGACGTAACTTCTCGGGATCCTCCAAAAAGTCCTGAAAAAATCTCAGTAAATGACCACCATTTTACTGAGATTATATTTCATCCCATATCATCTCGTCTCATTTCATTTAATTTCATCCCAGTTGATTAATGTCTCAAATTAATCATCTTCATTTCATTTTATATTATCATTTTTCATAAAAATAAGAATATAAATTAAAATAAGACATAACCTAAAGGTCTTAGTTACCAGGTCATAAAATCCCTTATAAAAATTTTTTTTTTCAATTTTGTTGATTTACTTGGTGACAATTTCAAACAGTGTTTCCCGCGAACTAGTTTGTCGTGCAGCAATTAATTGTTTTATTATTGGTTAGAGACTATTTGTTATACTTCTTTAAACACAGATTTCGCAAAGACTATTCTATAGAAAAACATTATTAATTTATTCCCAATTTGACCACATACTTTAAACAATAACAAAAGTTTTACAATAAGCAAAGAGTTTAAATATACATGTGTTGTGTCAACTACATGATACTGGTGGTAGGACCACTTGTGAGTCCGCACGGGTAGGTACCACCGCCCCGCCTATTTCTGCCGTGAAGCAGTAATGCGTTTCGGTTTGAAGGGTGGGGCAGCCGTTTTAACTATACTGAGATCTTAGAACTTATATCTCAAGGTGCGTGGCACATTTACATTGTAGATGTCTATGGGTTCCAGTAACCACTTAACACCAGGTGGGCTGTGAGCTCGTCCACACATCTAGGCAATAAAAATAAAAAAAACAAAAAGTGAGTCTAATGAGTGTAATGTTTCTTTTTATTGATTCAATGTGTTTATTATGCACAATTAAAAAACTATTACCATCTGCACTCCTTTTCTATATTCCTTATAAGTGTAGGCAATTTCATACTCCTCCGTCCGTGCAATTTTCGTAAAAAGGGGTACAAAGTTTTTGCTTCACGTATTAATACATAGATACTGCGTTAAAATAACAAAGAGAACATATCCCCCGGTACTCAGAGCACCTATTACGGTGCCATTAGGTACCAGGCGCTCATCAGAGACCAAGGTCCAACCAGCAATTGCCGGCGACACCTTGCGTCCTACAATAGATCTATCAACTGTATCCGGCGTTCAGACTGTCGTTAATGCGGCATGGAATATTACAGTTAGGAATAATGGACCTACATTGAATTTAGACAGGATATATAGACTACAATTTATTGACAATGTACGTCCGTACGAATTTCAAGCGATCATCATAATTTATTTTGATATAAAATATGTATATCTTTTTTTGTTTGGATGAGCGTAGAAGTCACACAGTTACAGCCAAAGTTATAAGAGAAATTACCTAAATTATAAAAAAAAGGTTTCATTTTTATAAAAAAATTTGAATTTTTTTTTTATTGCCTTTGTAGGCAGACGGGCATACGGCCCACCTGATGGTGAGTGGTTACCGTCGCCCATGGACTTCAGCAATGCCAGGGGCAGAGCCAGGCCGATGCCTACCTCAAACGTGTATCTATGTGTATGTATAATAATATGTATATTTCTATCGATAGGTACACCGTGTGTAATTTGTTTCCTAATGATTCTTATCCAACTGTTGGTTGTCTGGAAGAGAAAGCTCTACTGCTTCGTGGCAGAAATAGGCAGGGCGGTGTTACCTACCCGCGCGAGCTCACAAGACGTCTAACCACCGACGTTTCTTTTTGTTATTATTCATTGCAGTATGGTATTCACAGGGACGTCTTTAACTAGGATGGGGCCCTTGGGCACACAAGAATTTGAGGCCCTTTTGGAAAGTAAAAAAAGCGAATTATAATAACATTTTTTTACTGAGTACGAGACCATTTATTATAGGTAATCAAATACAGTATGATATAATATGTCATTAATGATATTAGAATGCTGCTGGTTTTTGGTTACGATTTCGATAACGGTTTCTTTCGGGATTTCTGTTGAAAAAATCTTCTATTATAGGCATAGTATATGCCTCGTAAATACCTTCTGATTACTGATTTGTGAAAAAAGTGTAATGTGCCCGACAAAAATGTTTTGAGAATAAACGTGTGAGAGAAATTGTCGGTCTTTCGGGGCCCCCTGTGCCCTTATGGTAAAGACGGTATTGGATATTCAGGTCATACAAAAAATTGAAGAAATTATTTGCTAAACAAACAGTTGATATTGATAGAAGGAGTGCAGTATATACATACGTAATTTATATAATATTATTTAATTCAAATTAATTCCCATTAAAGCGAACGAATTTTTGAAGACACTTAAAACTCAAAATTAACAAAAAAAAAATTAAAAAAGATATGAATTTATTTCTCACAATTTCCTATAATCGTGGGACGACTTTTTTGAATATAGTTGACGACCGTCATCTTTTGAACAAAAACTACGTAATTAATTTTGTTTCATATTAAAATTGATTTAATTTTGCAAATGAATAAAACTATTTAAATATTTTTAAATTAATTTCAAAATACACACACTCACACACACACATTTTTTTTGTTTCATATTATTAATAGACTAGCGACCCGCCCTCGCTTCGCTTCGGAAACATTAAAACACACATGAAACCAAAAAAATAAAATAAAATAAAATTAAAAAAAAGTAGCCTATGTTCATCAGGGACAATGTCGGCTTCTAATGGAAAAAGAATTTTACAAATCGGTCCAGTAGTTTCGGAGCCTATTCGAAACAAACAAACAAACAAATCTTTCCTCTTTATAATATTTATTAATAATTAATAAATATTATAAAGAGGAAAGATTTGTTTGTTTGTTTGTTTATTAATTATTAATTAATTAATAGATAGATATAGTAGGTAAAGTAATGAAGACAGTCCGTCGATACCAGGATAACAAAGGTCAGAAGAAGTGTCAAGTGTCTGAGACACGAACCACTCATTCATTGCGGCCCTAGTACAAACACCGCCGCGGTGCCGAAGTCCACTATTCAACGGACATTGTTTGTAAACCATCGGACATTCATCCGACACGTAAATGAAAAATAATATCTTTAAAGTAGTCTTGTTTTAAAACAGCGGCTCGTATCCGCTGTCCACTATAAAAATATTTTAAAATTTGTCCTAACGTTTTTACTAGGTTTTTCCGGTTAATTATTCATAAAGACGAAAATAAAATACCTTTTTTTGGTATAAAGTTTGCTTTTGTGATAGTCATATATATTAATACGTGAAGCAAAAACTTTGTATCCCTTTTTACGAAAATTGCGCGGACGGAGGAGTATGAAATTTTCCACACTTATAGAGAATATAGAGAAGAAGTGCACAATGCTAATATTTTTTTAAATAATTCATAAAAGATACATTAAATCAACAAAGAAAACATTACACACACTACATACCATGTATTTGACGCACACACGCATGCATACTATTTATTGTCAAACTTTTGTTCTTGACGTCTGTTGTCAAATTGAGAATAGATTAAATATTGTTTGTCTTTGTTAATATTTTTTATAGTGTAGTCTTGGCGAAATTTGTGATTATAGAAGTATAAAATACAATCATAATAGTGTACAAACTTACAATTCCAATTAATTATAGTCGAATTTCGACTACTGCGGGACCTCTAGTTATAGTAATAATACTCATTTTTAATTTTTTTAATAAATTTTAATTAATTTTAATACTTTCAAAAAAACCGCGGTATGAGAGTGGGATGCTTACGTTTACACAGTGCCACTAGATGGCACTCGAGTCATAAATAAAGATCAGGTATTTTATACAAGCCCAGAAAAACTTAAAATGTCACGAAAGTGTAAATACGATGCTGATGCATTTTGTTTTTTTTTTTTTATTGCCTAGGTATGTGGACGAGCTCACAGCCCACCTGTTGTTAACTGGTTACTGGAACCCATAGACATCCACAACGTAAATGCGCCACACACCTTGAGATATAAGTTCTAAGGTCTCAGTATAGTTACGACGGCTGCCCCACCCTTCAAACCGAAACGCATTACTGCTCCACGGCAGAAATAGGCGGGGCGGTGGTACCTACCCGTGCGGACTCACAAGAGGTCCTACCACCAGTAATAAATTAATTAATTAATGTTTCATATGTGGTCAATTTATTAAAGTTAACTGTTACATGCCATGTATTTTTTTTCGTCTAGTTACGATCTAAAATATCGAAATTTTATGCTTTGCAAACAAAATCAAATTTGGTGTTGACCCGTGTTATTTTTGCTAGTACAACAACAGATTCATAGTTTTATTTATTTATTGATTCACACGTACCTAACAATTAATTTCAATCGCTAATCGACAACAGAATTTGGAAGGCACTTGAAACACGCTAATTGTAACTTTATTTGTGTATATTATTACATCAATTTTGCCATATATCTGGCTTTTTCTTTCTTCACACAGACCAAAGCTTGAAGCTGTAATGTGTAAAATACCGTAAAATTGTTTCGCATGTGAAATATTCAGAATCGTGTTACCTACCCGCGCAGGCTGATACACAACTAAAATAAAAAATTGCGACCATCATTTTATTACAAGATGCGACTAAATCGTATCGAAAAATAAACCTTCTAAACAATTTGAGCAACTCCTGAACAATCTCAACACTCGATGTGATTATTATAATCTAATTAGGGCAACATAAAAACAAATAACTAAATAGGATTCAAATTATAATTTGCGTAATTACTGGTGGTAGGACCTCTTGTGAGTCCGCACGGGTAGGTAGCACCGCCCAGCCTTTTTCTGCCTTGAAGCCGTAATGTGTTTCAGTTTGAAGTTTGGGACAGCCGTCGTAACTATACTTGAGACCTCAGAACTTGTATCTCAAGGCTCGACAGTCGTCCACCCAGCTAAGAAATAAAAAAATAAAAAAAAGAATACTCACAGAAAATCCCTCTTGTGCGTCTTCTTCCAAAGGTAAATCCATTGGTATCTATCACCGGTCAATAGATAAGCTCCCAGCGTCGCAACAGCGCTCATCATGGTCGGAGAGCCGCGTAGAAGCCATCCCAGTCCAGCTGTTGTCAGCGCTATGGACGTGAGGATAATCCCCTTACACCGCTCGGCCTCTTCAAATCGAACCCCTCTCTTCTCTGACATCCTGGTACTTGAGATTCTATTTGATCTGATGCATATCTTTTACACCCGAATTCTAAAAGTGCGAAGTTAAGTTTTTATAAGCAGCTTTTTTTTTTTTGACAAGTATGTTTTAGGACCCTACCGCACTAAACGACTCCCCTGTCGAGGCAATAGTCGATGACCAACGGCGTCGGTCTCCGCGGTACGGCGGCCCTACCAGGCCGCCCGGGCGATGCCACTGGTGTTCCGGAATACCCCGCTGGGCCAGAACCAGCCTGCCGGGTCGGAACGCGATACACCGCCGAACGGGAACTTACATAGCTAACCTAAGCTTTGTGAATTTACTGACTTCGGCTTGACAACAACGACGGCAGCCGTAGCTGAATTAAAAAAAACCAGAGACTAAGCTGCAAAAATAGTTATAATAATATCTGCGAATCATCAAAATCGAAGGAAATACTTTAATGTTTTTTAACTTAAAAAAAACCTATTTTTATTATTAAGCAGTGTTCCAAACCAATCCGCGGGTGTTCGAATTTTTACCACGGCAACACGGGTCGCGATTTGACGGTGCCTTCGCGATTTGACATCTGTCTCTTTGTGTTGTTTCTCGAACAGGACGATACCCGCATACGTGACGATCTACGGTAATGGTTTTCATTATCACTAATCCTTATCCATTCCGTCCCTAAACCCTTCTCCCTAAGTGATACGGCGTGAGACGACGAGGTCATCGGTTCCGGTGAGTGATTAGATTATATTTTGTTAAAATAGTACATACGGCGCCGCGGATCGCGGCACATGTTCGACGGGCACTTCGTGTTGATTTACGGAGCCCTAGGCTGCCACGAGGGCGCTGGGTTTGGATCGAACAAACAGAACATTTGTAAAGTTTATACCAATTTACAATTATGCTATAGCTTAGATCAGTACAATTAATTTCGTTGTTTCCGATCTGGGGGTAGATTCTGTGGAGCACTGCTCTTGCTAGGGCCAGTGTTAGCAACGTCCTCAGGTTAGAGATCCGTGAGTTTACTTACTCGCTCGGTGAATGTAACATGACCACTCGAGGTTACTAAAATAGGTAGGGAAAAAAATCGGTTTTCTGTAAATTCGGTTTACTGACGATAGTTGAACGTGACAACGTCATAAGAAAATACTGATGGAATGGTTTCATTTTTCAATTATCGCAATTAACGTTGCCATAACCAATTGATTCCACATTCACTTTTCACTCAACTTCATACTTAACGAAAACATGTAAATGTATTATTGTATAGCAGCTGTCCACGCGGATGCATCGCTCACTCAAATAGGAGAGAGACAGAACGCAGTCAAACGCTGCCGAACGCGGAGGCCGATTGTGCCTCTTTGTCGCTCGTTGCGCGCTCTCGCTTGCACTTAAAGCCTTAAATGGAACGCCTCAGAGCGAGGTAACGCCGCATGAGTCATGTATTTTCGTACGTGCAGCCTGCTCCATTGAATTATAAGACGTTGTCACGTCAAAAAAATGAAAAAAATTCTCGTTATTACTAGGCCGTGTTAATATTCTCATTTCTACGAAGACAAAGTCCGACATCGGTATTTGTCGACATAGTAATAAATTCTGATAAAGTGACAGATAAATTTGTAAGCCTTACTACTTGATAATGTTTAGAATAGCTTCGTGGTCAAGCGTTATCTCAATCAATGCGAGGATATAATATATTAACATTGTTATTATCATGACAGTTGCTTTTTTATTGCCTTTGACTAGCAGACGGTGCTGTTAGGGCGAATCGCAAACCTACAAAAGTACATTCATCCTACCTAATCCTTTTTTTCCGGGCCGGGGGCTTAACCTCCTACGAGGTACCCGCGCGTAAGGGGCGCGCGGGGTATGTGGGACTCAACAATCTGCAGGTGTAGAGAGCAGACCGCGGGCCCAAGGAATTTTAGGGCCCACCCACTAAACGACTCCCCTGCACTCTTACGCCCGACGTCCGATCCCCTCTGAGGCCAGAACCCGGATGAGGTAGGGGGGTTACCCGGTCAACACTACAACCAGACAGCGCGGCTCACCCCAAGGACGCCCAGCCGACGGAGTCTTCGAGGCGATCCTTCCTAATCCTGCCACGATACAGTTATGATACCGATACCGTTTGGAAAGGTAGGACAACCATTACATAACAGATGAGAGTTTAACCTCATCTGTTATGTAACGGTTATCAAAGATACTTATCGTGTAGTTTCGCAAATGGCCGGGATCTCCAAATAACCAAATTATTCTTTAGACAGCCAATGAAAGATCTTTTTGTTTAGTACAAACATATTTTATGTGACTAATTAAAAATTATATCCTCAACGGTTACAGAGATATCAAATACATTAAAACCAATGTCTTGAATTGAACTGAACAAGTTCCAATTGAAATCTTAGATGTTCGACTCCATGCCTCCGATGTCCGAAAATAATTCCGTATACTTTCAGACATCCTTCACTGATAATAAAATTAAGTTATATTAAAAGAAAGCAGAAGACAAGTAAGTTACTTTATACTGTTGGTAGAAACTCTTGTTAGTCCGCGCGTGCAGGTACAACCACCCTGCTTATTTCTGCCGTGAAGCAGTAATGCGTTTCGGTTTGAAGAGTCAGGCAGCCGTTGTAACTATACTGAGATCTTAGAACTTATATCTCAAGGTGGGTGGCGCATTTACGTTGTAGGTGTCTATGAGCTTCAGTAACCACTTAACACCAGGTGCGCTGTGAGCTCGTCCACCCATCAAAGCAATAAAAATAGATAAATAAAACTCAATTATTTTTATGTTTCTTCAAACAGCAAATGGTTGAACCGCTTTATGTGTCAACTTTATAGTTTAAATGGATCGAAATGGGGCTTAAATGGATCGCTGCGGAGCGTCCTTAGAGTATTTTAAATGACACATCCTGACAACGACCTTTCATCCGAACCGGATTCGGTTAAGCGGTCGCCAGGCGATTTGGCCATCAGTACCGCCATTTTACCTAAAAAAATATTATTGTCCACTTCTGAGGCGACAGTCTTAATAAAATTAACTTAATAAAAAAAAACAATCTAATATCCAACCTAACCTAATGTTCTAATCTACAGAAACTAAAAATATTTTTGTAGTTCAAAAAATCAGTTGATATTAAAGAAAATAGCATTGAAAGATTGCATTACATAGATAGATAGATAGATAGACGAAGTCATAGATCAAGTTAACAAAATCTTAGTAAACTTAATAATATTCTCTGGTACATTTCGGATTTGGATTTGATATTGGGGTCATATGACCCCAATGGGGGGTTTTTCCCTATCTAGTTTGTTATTGTCATCAATAGACAGAAGAGCTCGCGGTTCAACCAGTATTAAGGGATTACCAGAGTTCGTAGACAGCACAGTAGGCAGCGGCTTGGCTCTGCCCCTAGTATTGTTGAGGTCCATGGGCAACGGTAACCACTCACCATCAGCTGGGCCGTATGCTCGTCTGCATACAATGGCAATAAAAAAAACCAGTTCAAACGTGGATAGGCACTTTAAGACATGGAATCGAAATTCCAACCCTAACTAGCTTGAACCGATCCTTGAAACCGCTACGCATGATGGATTCAGCAAAAATAGGCCGAAATCATTATACGATAGATGATTTATAATTAGCATTAACGTCTACACTAAATTCTTTCTGTGGGTGTTCTTTGATTTTACAATCAGAAATAAAAATAATGTTCGGTGATGTGCAGAAATTAACGACCCTAATGGAACTCAGGGATTCGCCCAAACTATTCCAGATTTAACTCGATGATTAACTTAGAATCAGCCAGTTCGCACTTCAGTTATATTTCTCGATTTAAAATTCACAGCCTATTATGTAAACAGCTAAAATGCACTAGTGTCTCCTCTTAAATTTTATTTATTATTCTTATGCAGCCGTGAAATCTTATGTCTTGCAGTGGAGATATAGTTTTTTCTACGACAATTTGGTTTAAGACAATACGAAGTTGATTGGTGAGAGATAAATAAAGCAAAAGACGTACTTACCTCGAGACAAATAAACAATGTGCTAGTTTTAACGTTACGATAGCTATTTTTGAATAGCTATTAACGACACGTTGTATCCGTTATAAATACGATAGTGAACTGAGTTGTTTGGCCCGCCGCCTGACCGTGGCGCGACATACGGACGGGTGTAGCAGCTCTTACACTAATGAATTGATAGATATTGTGTCTAGGGACGTTCGTAAAATAACAGATATTAAAACGTAACTGGTATTAATTTTTTTTTGTTATAAAAAACTTGACTATTTTAATTTATCAAAATTCATATATGTACTTTTTTTCTTTTTTTTTTGTTCGTTTGGCGTTGTGTGTGATGTTAACAAAGGTGTAAATTTATTTTTACGCTCGAGTTCTTCAGAAAATAAATAAATGTTAGGTTGTAGTTTATACTTTATTAAATTGAATTAATTAATTTTCCACCTTTTTACTTAACATAATATTCACAGAAAATATATAAGAAGTTGAATAGAAGTACAACCCATTAATTGCATAGATATTTTAAAATGACTGCTATCACAAATATAATTAAAATCTGAGTGATTCCAGAGTCCATATAGTTTGAATACCACTGGTTATGTGACATGAGGAACTAATACTAAGGGTGATTAAAAATAATGGTTTTGATTTTATTATCGTATTCAATAGTTGCTTCGTCAAACGTTTTTATTATTCACATAATATTAAACCTCCGTAAATAAATCTCATTACATCAATTACAGTTCGCATCAATTTTAATTGCACCAAATACACACTTTCTGTTAGAAATTTTCTAATGGCGCCGGTGGGAATCGTCAAAAGACCATAACTGCGCCGCTGTCTTCTCGAATATTCTCGAATAAATATCACGAAAAACTGATACTAGATAATCTTGAGTACTAGATATTAAACTAGTTTCAACAGTCACTATACCAACACTTCAAACCATCCAATTGGACGTGATAAATTAAACCATAAAACTCAAGTTGCTTAGGACCTATTAAATTGAAACTCCATATCAACTATATGTGCGATGGATTTGAAACAACATAAGTGCCAACCACAATAGCGCCTTATATATGAACAATTTAAGTCTTAAATTCATTCAATGTTATTACAAAGTTATTTTTGCATTTAAATTCGAAGCTGATTCCAATAAATGTTCTAGATAATGAAAATTCAACGGTAAAATGTAAGTTTGTTCGATCGTTATAAGCGAAACTGATTTTGAGGTCAACGACGTTTCCATAGTGGGTTTCTGGTAGAATGTTCTTTATGTCTCTGAGGTTAAGGAACAGTTTCGTCTGCGCATTCATTGTTTACGGGGTTTTATCAATTTGGATAGCCGAAAAAAAAGCATCTGGCATATTTTTCTTATCAGTAATCTGATGGTTTCTTTTATTGATTAACAAAAAGATAGCTCGCATTCGTAAAATTTGTTAATTATTTGTGTTTTGATTCCACCAGAGGGGCTTTGGCTTCAAGTAAAAACCTTTCCCTATTTATTGGATTTAATTTCACTTTGCCTCTGATTGGTCATGTACTTAATCTAACTAACATTATATTAATCATTAATGCACTGTTTTTTATTTTTTATTGCTTAGATGGGTGAACGAGCTCACAGCCCACCTGGTGTTAAGTGGTTACTGGAGCCCATAGACATCTACGACGTAAATGCGCCACCCACCTTGAGATATAAGTTCTAAGGTCTCAATGTAGTTACAACGTCTGCCCCACCCTTCAAACCGAAACGCATTACTGCTTCACGGCAGAAATAGGCAGAGTGGTGGTACCTACCCGTGCGGACTCACAAGAGGTCCTACCACCAGTGATTACGCAGATCATAAATTTGCGGGTTTGATTTTTATTACACGACGTTATTCCTTCACCGTGAAAGTCAATCGTGAACATTTGTTGAGTACGTATTTCATTAGAAAAAGTGGTACCCGCCTGGGATCCGAACACCGGTGCATCGCTCAACATGAAGGCACTGGACGTCTTATCCTGTAGACCACGACAACTTGATTACTTGCTTGATTACTTGATGACTTGGTTACTAAAGCCAGCTGACGTCACAGCGTGTGCGCCCTAGACGCGAGGATAAAAGCTCAACTGTATTGCTCAGCTGTTCCAGCCCTCAAACCGAAACTGCTTTCCGGCAGAAATTTCATTTCATTACGTCACTTATATACACCTCCATTGTGGAAACTCCTTGTAACAAGTGCTATGTACGTATTTCATCACTAAAATTGGTACCGGTTTGTGATATTTGAACCTTGGCACAGCCTAAAAAGATACATAAAAAAACACAAGTAAAAAGAAACAAAATCTGGCTTGCAACACAAGCCATGTGCGCACGACTAAGCAAGGAAAATGTGCTGGATTTGTACACAATGGTCCTTACAACTATACGACAAAACAATACGATAACGAAAATGAATCTAACTTATAATTTTATTCACAACTAGCTGACCCGGCAGACTTCGTAGTGCCTCAATCGATAAATAAAAGACCTAAGCTTTTGTATAAAATAAACTTAAAACAAACAAAAGGAATCCGTCCGACGGGGGGGGGGGACACATCAAAGGAAAACCAAAATTGTTATTTTTATTTCATTCCGAGCATTTTCATATTGATCTACCTTTTAAACCTTCTCTGGACTTCCACAAATAATTCAAGACCAAAATTAGCCAAATCCGTCCAGCCGTTCTCGAGTTTTAGCAAGACTAAACGAACAGCAATTCATTTTTATATATATAGATATACATTAAACAATTATATTATACATTCAAACACGAGCTACGCAAAAATTAGTGCATAAATAGTTGAATTATGCTTGGCGGCAGAAATGAGCTGTTGCGTTTTAGCTACCGGCCCAGGCTTACAGTATACCTATCACTTATAGAATGAGATCAAAATCTCAAGTTAAATATCTAATTAGTGATTTTAAATCGATTATTAATGAAAGGTTTACAAGGCGAAGATATCTATATCTAGTGCGATTTGAAGAGTATAATACTACTCCTTGTTACAATAAAAGACAAAAGGTTTGGCATTTACATGGCGATCAATTCTTCGGTAGCGGTTTAAAACTATTTAAAAAGACTACAAATTAAACATAGCATTTTATAAAATAAATTTAATACTTTCTCTTATGAAAAAACTCCTGTATTTGGGAGTTCGATAACCCCTTTGTTTCAGGTACTACGACGTAACTAAAGGCCATATTACACAGAGCCACTGCCGCGAAGCAGTAGAACACACCGTGGATCCCAACTAATGTGGTCATGTAGTTGAATATGGCCAAAATGACAAAATCTAGGAACCAGACCCATTCAACAATCAGCATCGACGCAAAGCTTTGAACCTAAAAAAATTACGTAAAAATCAATATGTCGTGGTTAACGACTTTTAGTAATATTAAGACGTTGTTTTAACTATTATTTTAAATGATGAAATGTTGTTTTGATAAATATCACAAAATGTAGGGTAGACTCCGTAACGCCACAGTATAAAATGGCGGTACGTGGACAGAGTCGTGGCATTCCGTGTCAGACAGTCATTCAGTCCGTATCGGACGGTCCGTCCGTCTCAGTCAGTGAGTCTCTGGCAGTCAGTCAGTCGGTCTGTCGGTATGTGGAACGAAACTGTCAGCTTACCCTGTCATTCTGAAAGTTGTGTGTGTTGAGTTTCAATAATTATTATTCAAAAGGTTTTATTGACTTTTATAAACTGAGTTCAACCAAATACGAGTGATGACGGAAACTACCGCTTAGCCATCCCTGGCGCCGCGCCGACAAATATTTGTTTGACTGCTTCATTATGATCATTAAGATCAGAATGAGTAACTTGTCTAACAGATAAAACGAACGTCCAAATAAAGCATGTAAAAACCAGCATGATGTGCTTCTGGATGCAAACATAAAAAAAAAATTACAGTATGTTTACTAAACTATGACGTCACTATAAAATCGTACCAGACGTTTTAGGTCACATGACCAAGCCGATCATTTTGCTTAGAAGACTTTTTGACACTCAGGATATAACTATGATTATAGCCCCTATAGACGACATAAAGGCCGTTGCAGGCTCTACGTGGAAGAGGAAATGCCACGACCGGGGCTTATGGCAGGATTTGGCCTATGACAATCTTTGTCGAAGTCAAATACTTAAAAAAATTACATTAATAGTATGTACCTAAATATGAATTAAGATTGTTAATAATGGCTTTTTTATCTTTATAGCCCCTGCATTACTTTTGCAGAGAAGTAATATTACAGATTCAAGACCAAAGTATTCTAAGAGAGTTTGACCCCAGACTAGCGAATAACTTTTACGCTGATGTACTACTTATGTGTAGGTTCTAAGAATCTCAAAATCCTCACCTCCGGCACAAACACCTCTGCCAGCAGGACATAAGGCACTGTACCAGCTCCGAACATGAAGGCGAAGCAGTAAATTAAGATTACCAGGATGGTGACCCAAGATGACGCACTTTTACTCTGCAGAAGATATCCCAGCGAGGCCATGCAGAGGGACACAAGCGCTGAAGACGCTATTAATAACACCTAGAAGTAGATATCAGATTTAATTAGGTCATGTGGTTAGTTTGATTTGAAGAATGAAACACATACTTTTAGTAATACCATTGATCCCATTTCTTAAGTGGACAGGAACCACACAGACGATGTTTCTGGACTTCAGTAATCACACCAGATGGGCCGTGAACTAGTCTGTCTATCTACAATACTAAAAATCTCTCCTTATCGAAATATACGAGCAATTTTTCTTTTGCTCTAAACGTGTGAATGAATTGACGAGTTCGTCTTTGTGGCTTAGGGCCCATTGATGCAACGTATAGCCGTTACTAATCTTGAGAAATTAGTTAAGAATCCCAATTGCATGGCTGCTTCTCAGCCAAAATAGGCAGGATGGTGATACTCACCCGTGCGCGTTTACTATACACTCTACCACCAGTGATAGTACTTAAAATTTCTCAAGGGTAAAAATAATAACGCTAAGTTTCCGAGCTGTCAAAATTTCAGTTCTATGCATCTCAAGAGCATCACACTGGGGAGCGTTACACACCATTTGCTAAAAACCTTTCAAAATCAATTAAAATAAAACCTACCCTTCTACC